TGCAAACCAACTTGGCGGTTTTCTTCTTTCCCTACTTTTACACTTTGGGGAGTGATAACACGAACTCTTTAGAACGTAACCTCTTTCTCCAGCATTCAACTTTGGGGAAAATGCATCCTTGAGGCTGAAGTTGTATACGGTACTCATCTTTTGGGGTGAGATTTAAGGACACAGTTTGGGGGTACATTTCTTTTTTTGTTTGTCTTGCCTTCTTTTGGGGGAGGGAGAGGTGTGGAGGATGGTCACTGGGAGTTAAGTGCCCCCAGATGGGGGGAGGGGGACTCCTAGGGTGTTCTTCTCTGAATGGGAAATACAGGAGAGGCCCATTTGAGACAGATCCAGCCACCGTTCCTTTGCTCTCACTTGGCTGCCTAGTCAAACTGATTGCAAAAGTGACAGGGATACCTGCTCCTTTGCTCTTTGGCTCCCCCCCACACCACCCCCCACCGTACGCTCCTCTCAACTCTCAACCCGGGCTGTATGCCTGGCCTGCTGCCTTATTCTCTATGACCAAAAAAAAAAAGCTTAGGAGTTCTGGAGCATGACTGGTGATACTGGTCCGGCAAGCATCCTTCGGCCTCTGGTCTAAGTCTAAGCTCTAGAGACATACTGAACTACTTAAGGGTATTGGGATATCACATCTGTAACGTACTCTCAATGCATTCATAAAAGTACTATTATGTATTATATATAGAAATATAGATGGTGAGATGATATAAGGATGAACCAAACATAGTAAAGATTTTTTTTTGTAATGGGGAACCTGGGTGAATTCTTTATATTATTCTTCATCTTTTTCTGTATGTTTGAAATTATTTCAAAATACAAAATTATGAAGCATTGTGAGAGCCTAGTTTTTGCAACTCTATGCAAATAAATTTGAAAATTAAATAAAATGAGAAGATGCCAGTCCTGAAATGCAGAAAGCAATAGGTAAAGATATAATAGGAACATGCAAACTACAATAAGTTGATACAGCTATATTAACATCAAACACAATAGACATTAGAGCAAGAATACTTACTGAACAGTAAAAAGGTTGCTGCATAAGAATAAAAGGGTCATGGGCCGGCCTGGTGGCGCACTGGAGAGTGCGCCGCTTGGGAGTGCGGCGGCGCTCCCGCCCAGGGTTCAGATCCCATGTGGAGACCGATTCCCGCTCACTGGCTGAGCGCGGTGCAGGCGCAACACCGAGGGTTGCGATCCCGTTACCAGTCAGTAAAAAAGACAAAAAAAAAGAATAAAAGGGTCAGCATATCAGGATGATATAACATTTCTAAATCTTAGTCAAGTAACAACATAGCCCCAACATCTATGAATCAAAAATGTACAGGAATAAAGGAGGAATGTGAAAACCTGACATTATATTACCTCCTTCAGTAACTGATAGAAAAAGCAGTCATAAATTCAATAAACGTGGACGATTGGTTTAACACAATTAGTGTGTGTGTATACATATACATACACACAGATATTATATAGAGAGAGGAGAAGAAAGAAGAGAGAAAGAAAAAAAAAGATTTAAAAAATTTATTCTATTGCCTCACAAAATTGTGGAGGCTTGGCAAGTCCAAAATCTTCAGGATAGGACAGCAGGCTGGAGATCCAGGTTGTGTCTGGTTTATTTTACTAAGTGTAATTTGAAGGATTATCCAAATTGTTGCATGTATTGGAATTTCATTTTATTTTAAGGCTGAATAATTTCATCGTTTGGGGAGGAGAGGGGATAGTGAGAGGATGGTGCATGGACTTAAGATTGCAGCTAGATTGGAAAAATAAGTTCGGGTGGTGTGCAGTAGTGCTAGGCATCTATAATAGTAATTTATTGTACTCAAATGGCTAGAAGAGAGGAGCTGAAATGTTCTCATCACAAACAAGATTTTTTTTGATGGTGAATTCACTAGCCGCCCTGATTTGATCGTCAGTCACATCGTATACACATATTGAAATATAACTGTGGGGCTGGCCGGTTACTCACTTAGGGGAGTGTGGTGCTGGTAACACCGAGGTCAAGGTTCAGATCACCTTACCAGCCAGCCCCTAAAGCAAAACAGCAAACAAACCAAAAAGAAATATAACTCCACCTGATAAATATGTACAATCAACATGTTTCAACTTAAAAAGAAATTTAAAAATAGATAGCAAAAGTAAATTAAATAAATAAATGACCAAGCTGGGGAAGAAAAATTTCGTCGTGTGTATTTACCACATTTTGCTTGTCCATTCCTCCTTCCCCCTTTTGGCTCTCGTGAATAATGCTGTTATGAACATTGGTGTACAAAAATCTGTGCAAGTCCCTGTTTTCCTGTTTGGGGGAAACATTTATCATATGTAATTGTCATAAATTGGCTGGCATAAATTGTCTACCTATGTTGATTAAATATATATCAAATTTATACTCTGAGTGACATCATGAAATCAGTTTTATTGATGTACAAAGAGGTTTCGTGGGAAGGATGTCTTTACCCAAAGAGTTTTTACCTGAGAATAATAATGAATTATAGTTATTTGTATTGTATTAGTATTTAATTTGTTTTTCATTATTTTGCAGCCTCATGTCCATTTCTTTCAGAGTACTTTTTCTTACTGAAGAGCCAGTGTTTGTTCACACTCATATGTGCACACACACATATTTACATATATGTATATATTTATTTGTGCAAGTAATATTCTTTTTATTTACAAAGAAAAAATTACTTATAGGTTCATTGCTGTCTTAACACTCATTGTTAATGTTTATTGATTTTATTTTAATGTTTTAAATAATTGTTATGGTAGTGTATATATGTGTAAATTTGCAGCCTTGGCATGCAAAATTTTATTGTATTAATTCCAGTACTGCTGCACTGTCTTAATAATTACCATTCCTAATGGCTTAATGTCTGTTAACAGGCTATACATTTTTTTCATTATCCACTTAGTATTGGATCTTTTAGCTGATCTTTTAGTTTGTAGATTGTGTCTGTCAGAAATAGTGTTGCAATGAAAATCTTCATTAATTTAGCATTTTATACATTTTGAGTGATTTCTTTATGCTAATTCTAGAAGAGAAATTAGTGAACATTTTAAAAGCTTTTGACAAGAATTGGCAAATTGCTTTTATGTAGGTTGTACCATTTTATACTGCCAGTGAGAACATTGATTTGATAGCATCATTGTGTATGTTGAGCGTTAGCATTACATTTTTTAGCAGGTTAAATTGGCACCTTGTTATTGTAATCCGTATTTTTTGTGGATAGTACAATATTTTGTGGATAGTTCAATATTTTGCTTTAACATTTGTTACATATACAGTTGATCCTTGTTATTTGTGGATTCTGTATTTGTGAATTTGCCTACTTCTAAAATTCATTTGTGACCCCAAAGTCAGTACGCATGGTGCTTTTGCAGTCATTCACTACATATGTTGAATGGAAAAAAAGTTTGAGTCTCAGGACACATGTTCCTTGCTGAGGTGGAGCAAGGTGACAGTCTGTCTTCTTGTTTTGGCTCATACTGTAAACAAGTGTTCTTTTTACAGTCTATTTAGTGCCATGATTTTTGCATTTTTTGTTCTTTCTATTGGTGATTTCACTGTTTAAAATGCCCTCCAAGTTTAGTGCTGAAGGGTTGTGGTGCTGTCTAGAGTTCTTAAACTCAAAAAGTCTGTGATGTGCCTTAGGAGAAAATACATGTGTTACAGAAGCTTCCTTCAGGCATGAGTTCCAGCACTGTTGGTTGTGAGTTCATTGTTGATGGATCACCAATTATATATTAAATAAGATATCTTTAAACAGAAACACATGTAAAACAAATTATGTATTGATTGATGAAAATGTCAGACAGAGGCTCACAGGAACCTGACTCTGTATTTCCTCTAGGAGCAATGTTTCAGTGGTCAGGGCAGCTTTATAGCATATAACTACTGCAAATAATAAGACTGTAATTGTAATTGTCTCTATTAACTGTTAGAGCTTGGATTCCTGGATCCCTCAGTGCTTGGCCCAGTGACTGACACATTCAAAGTTCTCAATAAATATTTGGTTGAGTGAATGAATGTTACTTACTGGTCATATTCTTTTGTGAATTTTATGTTCACCTCTTTGCCTGATTTAATTTTATAGTTTTTTGTATCAATTTGTAGGAATTGTTTGTATAAAATATCTGCCTTTTATTTTCTCATAGGTCTGGTTTAAAAGTGAAAGTGGAGATTGGCATTGTACTGCTGGCTGGAAGGTTAGTATTTATTTTTACAGTGATTTTTTTAAAAATTGAAATGTTTACTATAGGTATTTGGTAGTGTCAATTACTTGCTGTTCAGCTTGGAGAAGATTATACAATTTATACTTCTTTTCATGGAAAGATATTTTACATTTTTTCACTATTAAAGTAACAGAAATACATTTCAGGGAATCTGAGAGTAAGAATGTCTGTAATTTCACAGCATTCTAACGTGGCTATTCTAGGATTTCACCATATTCTGCTTATTTCTTTCTCACCTTTTCCTTTATATATTTTTAATAGTTTTATTTCTTGCTTTTAAAAAACAAACAAACACCTTTACTCAGAATTTTTCATACCTTAAAAGTCATAAATTTTAATTTACAGTCTTAAACATGCAGTTGTACAGACATCACCACAATCCAGTTTTAGAACACTTCCATCAACTCGGAAATTTTCCTTGTGCCCATTTGTATTTGATCCCTCTTCCTACCCCCAAGCTATAGGCAACCACTGATCGATTTTTTTATAGTTTTTAATCTTTTCTAGAAGTTTTATATAAATGGAATCCTATAATATGTAGTCTTTTGTGTCTGGCTCCTTTCCCTTAGCATATTTTTAAGGTTTATCCATGTTGTATTCCATGTCTGTAGTTTGTTCCTTTGTACTGCTGAGTAGTGCATTGTATGGATATGTCACATTGTGTTTCTCCATATGTTTTCCTTTCTCTTGGATAGATACCAGGAGTGGAATTTCTAGATTGCATATGTTTAACTTTCTAAGAAACTGCCAAACTCTTTTCCAAAGTGGCTGTACCGTTTTCCATTCCCACCAGCTGTATATAAGGGTTCCAGTTTCTCTGTATCCTCATCTGCAGGTGATATTATCTGCCTTTGTTACAGCCATTTTAGTGGGTGTGAGGTGGTGTGTCATTGGATTTTTATGTGTTTCCTTAATGACTAATGATGTTGATTATCTTTTCACATGCCTATTTGCCACCATTCATATATCTTCTTTGCTGAAGGGTCTGTCCAAATTTTTTGCCCCCCCCCCCAGGCTTTTTTAATTGGGGTGAGATTCACATATCATAAAATCAGTTATTTTAAAGTAAACAGTTAAATGGCATTTACTCCATTCACAATATTGAATGGCATTTACTCCATTCACAAACTACCACCTCTTTCTAATTCAAAAACACTTTTATCATTCTGAAGGGAAACCCCTATTTCTTGCTTTTTAGCCTAACAACATATTTCCTAAGTACTTTCCTGTCTTTAAAGTCTCTTTATAAACATCCAATAAATACACCATTTTGCTTAACTGAAAATACCGTTGATGAACATTTTTGTGCAAATCTTATTCTTTAGTTAGATTCTGTTTTACTGGGAATCTAACAGTTTATAAAACCTCTCTGCCTTAGTGCCTTTTTTACTTAATAGCCCTGAATAAGAATTAAGGTGGAACCCAAAAAACTGGACAAAACAAAGGATACAAAATAAGGGTACATAGTTTACCTATGGTTGGTGACATTGTTACCATGAAGAGTTATCAGGTTAACAAGGTGTTCTTATGTTGTTGCATGTAAAAAATGTTAGATATACAGAAGTGTGAAACATATTTGTAAATGTTATTGGTGAACTCATGTTTATTTTCAGATAGTATTTTTCCTGGGAAGCACCTAGCAAATTCTTTTGATGTTGAAATGCTTTCAGACCTTTTCATCCTTTTTTTTTTTTTTTTTTGGTGTCGTCAACATGAAGAGGTTGTAGAATAGTAATTGACATTTTTCGTATATAAAGATAATGAGATACTTAGTTTTACGTTATTTTCTCAGGATATAAGTGTTTGGGCTTCTCTGTATTTGCTCACTGAATGCCTCTTTTCCTCAAATAGTCCATTGTCTGAGATCCATTGGTTAGGATCTTCTAAGCATTTTGCTGCTGTAGTTTCTATATACTGTTGGGCTTTTGAAGCAGATAATTTTTTTTAAATAGAAGAGTGCTTTTTAAAATTGAGCTATAATTTACATACCATTATGTTCAGCCATTTAAAATATACAATTTAGTGATTTTAAGTTATTCACAAAGTTGTGCAAACTTTTATCTATTTTCAGGACATTTTCATCACCCCAAAAGGAAACCCATTTAGCAGTCACTTCCCATTCTCCCCTTTCCCAGCCACTGGTAACCACTAATCTACTTTCTTTCTTTATGGACTTTGAAGCAAATAATTTTGATTAATCTGATTTTATTTATTTTGTTAGGTGGATGTTTCCTGTAGAAAGAATTTGCAAGTTAAGAAAAATTGTGGACTCATAGAATATCTGTTTCAAAGCTTGGTTAGGCTAAACTCTGAAGCAAGTCTCCAACTGTTATCCCTGGAAGTAGTCAACTTTATCTGAATGGACTTTTCCTTATTAGTAAAATATTAGAAGAACTTGATTCTAGAAAGACTGCAATCCTCAGTATAGAATATCCTCAAAAGGTTAAAGAATTCTGGAATTTAACTTTTTATTTAAATACTAAATTGATTTTTACTTCTCCTTTAAAGAAATAAAGATATCTGTATTCTTTTTCAAGTAAAACCTTTTATGTGTGAAATGTGAATGAATTCAGTTTCCACCCCCCCCTAGAATAAACAGGGCTATTGAATATGTGTTCTTTTTTTTTAATTCCCCAGACACACAGTGGATCTGTATGGCGTGTGACATGGGCCCATCCTGAATTCGGGCAGGTTTTGGCTTCCTGTTCTTTTGACCGAACAGCTGCTGTGTGGGAAGAAATAGTAGGAGAATCAAATGATAAACTGCCAGGACAGAGTCACTGGGTGAGACATTTGTTAGTATTCTGAGGGTGGGGAGGAGGAGATGTGAGCAGCCAGGGAGCATTAGTATCATAACACCATGCTCTAAGCAACATAGCTAACAGGCCAGCAGGAGCATTAGTACTTCTAAGAATATCTCAGGCACTTGCTAAGATGTTACCCGTCCCCTCTTTACTTACCAGTTCCACTTTTCTTTTTTCCATATTTTCCTCATACTTGTTTTTTAGTTTTGTCTTGGGCCTGAAGTGGTACTCGGGAGCACCCATGGTATTGTTTAATTGTAACTTCATGACGAATCCAGAGTATTTACTTGGTATATGATTTTATATACTATATGTTTTATATGATATTAATGTATGATTTACTTATTACTTTTTTTAACTTTTTTGCCTTTTTCTTTTTGGTCTTGTTTTTTCTTTGGTTTGTTTTTGGTGGCTGGCTGTACAGGGATCTGAACCCTTGATGTTGGTGTATATGATCATAAGGATATGGTTTTAGAGTACCCTCTCAAATCCTTTAAAAACTTCTTCTGTTTTGTTTTCTTTTGCTTTCTTACAAAATGCACTCTCCTTTATCTGTGCCTACTTTAAGCTCTAGCTCTGCCCTCATTGTATGTTTGAGTTTGGGCAAGAACACATGTTGTGTGCTGCTCAAGTTCCTTGTCTGTGAGTGAGAGAACCGAGCTAGGTGATCCTTAAGACCTTTCCAGTGTTTTCATTTTAAGATTTTATCATCCGTATGCTTGTTCTTTCCTTCTGTAATTAGTTATTTGTAATAATCATACACATGGTATAAAATCCAAAAGAGACAAAATGGTGTACACAGTGAGAACATCCTCCCCTTCCCTCACCACCTAGTTCTCTCCCTAGAGGCAGCCACTACTGCAGCTTTTTGTGTGTTTTTCCGGAATGTTTTCTTCTCCCCATTTTTCCTCCCACTTCCCCGCTAATGCATGATATTGACACTTTTTTCTGATGCATTTTTTTTATTCCTGTAAATATATCTAATATAATAGTCATCATTTTAACTGTTTGTTTATTTTGGCATTGGGCTGGTACTGAGGATCCAAGCCATTGACCCTGGTGTTATAACACTGTGCTCTAACCAACTGAGCTAAGCGGCAGACCCCCGTTTTAACTATTTGTAAGTGGTGCAGTTCAGTGGCATGAATTACATTCACAATGCTGTGTACCCATCACTGTTATCTATACCCAGAAGTCCTCATCATCCCCAACATAAACTCTGTAACATTAAGTAATACTTCCCCTTTTCCCCTCCCCATAACCCCTGGTAACCTCTACTATACTTTGTCTATTAATTTGTCTATTCTTGGTATTTGTGTTAAGTGGAATCATACAGTAATTGTCCTTTTGTGACTGATTTATTTCCCTAAGCAAAATGTTTTCAAGGTCCATCCATGTTCATATATCATGTTCATGTATCAAGCATACATCAAGTTCATTCCTTTTTATTGCTAAATAATACTTCATTGTGTGTATGTATACCACATTTTGCTTATCTGTTCATTTGTAGATGGCCATTTGGGTTGTTTACACTTTTTGACTATTGTTAGGAACTCTACTATAAGCACTGGTGTACAGATACCTGTTTGAAACCCTACTTTCAGTTCTTTTGGGTATATATCTAGGAGTGGAACTGCTGGCTCATATGGTGGTTTCATGTTTAACTTTTTGAGGTGCCATCAAACTGTTTTCCACAGAGACTGTGCCATCTTACATTCCCACCAACAATACACAAGGGTTCCAATTTTTCCACATTTTTGTCAACACATGATATTTTCTAGTTTTTTTGTTATAGCCGTCCTAGAGGGTATGAAGTGGTATCTCATTGTGGTTTTGATTCGCATTTCCCTAACGATTAACAAGGCTGAGTATCTTTTCATGGGGCTATTGGCCTATTGCTTGTCTTCCTTGAGGAAATGTTCATTCAAGTCCTTTGCCCATTTTTTTTATCGGGTTGTTATTTGCTATTGTTGGGTTGTGGGAGTTCTTTATATATTCTGGATATCGATCTCTTATCAGATACATGGTTTGCAAATATTTTCTCTTTGTCCGTGGGTTGTCTTTTTACTCTCTTGATAGTGTGCTTTTGTTTGTTTTTGTTTCCGGCAGCTGGCCAGTACAGGGATCAAACCCTGGACCTTGGTGTTATCAGCACCATGCTGTAAGCAGCTGAGCTAACTGGCCAGCCCTGTAGTGCCCTTTGATGCACAAAATTTTTAAGTTTTGATGAAGTCCAGTTTATTTATTTTTTCTTCTGTTTCCTGTGCTTTTGGGGTCATATCCAAGAAATCATTGTCAAATTTAGTGTCATGAAGACTTTCCCTAAGGTTTTCTTCAAGAGTTTTATACTTTTAGTTCCTAGTTTAGGTTTTTGATCCATTTTGAGTTAATTTTTGTATATGGTGTAAGGTGAAGGTCCAAATTCATTCATTTGCACGTGCATATCCAGCTTTCTCAGCACCATTTACTGAAAAGATTGTCCTTTCCCCGTTGAATAGTCTTGGCACCCTTGTTGGAAATTAATTGACCATACATGGAGGATTTATTTCTAGACTATTCTATTCTATTGGTTTCCTTATGACAATACCACACTATTTTAATTACCGTAGCTTTCTAGCTTGAATGCTATTCATACTATTTTACAACTCTTTTCTTACAGGGGGAGGAGTTGGTCTGATTGCCTTTGGACTGGGGCCTCCCTAAGATAAACAGCTGCTTAAGGAGAGAAGGGAAATGTATACAATTAGAAGGAATTTTTCTGGCATTCAGTCTGAGGTGTATCAGTTTAGTATAGTATAGGGTGGGTTTAGGAGTGGTGGCGTATAGAGTTTTCCTTCTAATTTTAAGATATTTATTGTATTAGTTAAATCAATTAGTTAAGTTAATACATTTATTTTTTCAACATTTGTGTTGATGTTACTTGTTCAATGGTGTTTGTAGAAAAAAAGTTTGCTAAGATATTTGATGTTTATGTAATATTGGTCTTTTAATATTGAAACTCCTTGAGAAGTATTTTGGTAACCACAGGTAGTAAACTGTTGATTTTTAAATTTTATTGACATTTTCAGTCAAATATCGTCTTATCTGGGTACCAGAAAATAGCTTTTAAATGTGATGCTGGGGGCCAGCCCGGTGGCGCACTGGAGAGTGCGCCATCTCCCGCTGAGGGTTCGGATCCCACGTGGAGACCGGTTCCCGCTCACTGGTTGAGCGAGGTGCAGGCGCAACACCGAGGGTTGTGATCCCGTTGCCGGTCCCCGGTGTGGGCGCGACACCGAGGGTTGCGATCCCGTTACTGGTCAGTAAAAAAGACAAAAAGGAAAAAAAAAATAAATAAATAAATAAATAAATGTGATGCTGGACTTCTATGATCCTCACAGTGCCAGCTTCCTACCGTTCACTATTAAATGCCTTCACTTAAAGGTCAATAGTGGTGGTCTGAGTAGGATTAGCTAAGATTTTATGCTTAAAGGAAGAAGTTGCATGCCTACCGTTTGCTGTTAAAGGATTGAAATAAGTTTAATTTACTGCTTGCAGTGTGCTTTGTGTGACAAAACTACCAAAATGAAAATTCTAACATTTTCTGGTTTTGTGACCCGTCTACTTGAGAGATTACTTACATAATAAAGTTTAGGCTTTCTAAGGTAGACTTTCTTCTCCTTTAAAGGAGTAGTTAATTATAGCTCAGTAGTTTGTTAGCAGTTGCCAGCTGTGTGCAGTATTCTGCCATGTGCTTTGTAGGAAGTTGAGGCCAAGACAGATTTTAAATCATTTATTCAGGATTATGTACCAGTAACTGGCAGAGGAGTTTCTGTGTGGTTCTAGAGCCTGTGCTCTTTCACTCTACCATGCTTTGTTTTTGTATGTGATGGAATCGTTAACATTTTTTTTCAGGTTAAAAGGACAACTCTAGTGGATAGCAGAACTTCTGTTACTGATGTGAAATTTGCTCCCAAGCATATGGGTCTTATATTAGCAACCTGTTCAGCAGATGGTATAGTAAGAATATATGAGGCACCAGATGTTATGAATCTCAGCCAGTGGTCTCTGCAGCATGAGATCTCATGTAAGCTAAGCTGTACTTGTATTTCTTGGAGCCCTTCAAGGTAAGCTTATATATCAAACTCCTGATAGTATAATCCTAGTAAAACAAGCTAGTAACTTTTAGGCTAAGAATTCGATGGTTTCTTTTCTCAAAAATATATAGATATGTAGAGTAAAAAAAAAAATACGTAGAATAAAAATTCTCCCTTTTCCACCCTGTCATATCTTTTGTCTTCCTATTTCCACTCCATAGAGGAAGCCAAGCATTGTAAATATTTTGGTGTGAATCTTCTGGGTTCTATGCATATATAAGTAAATATTTAATGTATTCATAAACACATATATGTGCAAATACACCTGGATACATACAAACACATACAGGTAGACACAAAACACAGATATGTATAAACACATATTTTCCTTCCTTACAATTTGCTTTTTTCACTTACAAATACATTGTAATCACTTACAAATCCATATCTTAGTATCTCTAGCCCCACCTCATTTTTTTAACTGCTATATAGAGTGTGATTGTATGAATATACCATAGTTGTTTTTTATTAAACTATGGGGATCCGAACCCTCGACCTTGGTATTATCAGCACCACATTCTAACCAACTGAGCTAACTGGCCAGCTCCTTTATTAAACTATTTTTTAAAAATTATAAGAATCACTTGGTAAAGAAAAAAATTCAAATAATCTAGAAGAATATAAAATGAAAGGTAAAAGTTCTCTTACCCTCTCAAAACAAATGTCGGTAGTAGTTCTATTTTTAGACTTTAATTCTGGTGGTCACTATTTTATTTTATTTATTTTATTTTAAAATTAAGTTTGATTTCATTTAATTGTATTATTTTATTTTATTTTCTTCTATTTTACGGCTGCCTGGTACAGGGATTGAACCCTGGACTTTGGTGTTATCAGCACCGTGCTCTAACCAACTGAGCTAACTGGCCAGATCCTATTATATTTTTAAATGATTTATTTATACCTCTGGTTCTTGCTTTGTTGTCTTTAAACAGTATTCATACTCATTGAAATGAAAGATGAGTATAATGCATTTATAAAACTTTGTACCTCCCAAGATATGACTAGATAGATATTTGTGGTAATGTTGATAGTTGTTTTAGTTATGTTGAAAATTATTACAATTTCAACTAATATATTTATTTCTCCACTTACAGATTTATCAATTTTTAGAGTATATATTGACCCCCCTTTTTCCTGAAAAATGAGGAAATAACTTATTTTGCTTCTACTTCACCTTGATTCTTCCATTTCCTAATTTTGATGATGTTGCTTGCATACTGGCAAGATTTACGATATTTATGTTTCATTTCTGTAAACATGTAAAACATATATAAGTATTTTTGCCTTCTAACTACAAGTTGATTCTAAAAATTAAGAGGCAGCCAGATTTACACTATTAGATTCTGTAAATATTCATTGTTGGTGCAAGTATCATCTATTTCATGAAAATTTTATTGTTTATGCAGAATAATTTGATGTTACCCTCTGATAGATGCTCTGTTTTCTTTCTTGATTCTTTTACTTCTGGCTTATACTTAGCTGTCACAAGTTTCATGTTCTTTTTCAATTTTTATTTTATTGAAAAATAACTGATTATTCATATTTGTGGGGTAGTGTTGCATATCAGTACCTGTGTACAATGTGTGATGATGATCGTGTTGTCTTTAATCTTTTTTTTTATTTCAGTGGCACACTCTACAAGTAATTTTTTCCCATATGGGTTGGATGGCGAACTTTGAATTCTAGCATACCTGAACATGTTTTAATTTTAGCCCAGGCTAGTTGTAGAGTTCTAAGTACAAACTGAGTTCTAACTTCAAAGATATTGTTTTTCTATCCTTTTAACTTTGGGTTATATTAATGAGAAGTCTGAGGTTGGTCTGATGCTGGTTCTTTTGTAGGTAGCTTGTTCTTTCTGAAAGGTCATAGAATTTTGTCTCATTACTTTGAGTTCTGTTCCAAGTGTTGAGTTCTGTTACCTAGTTTGTGTTTGTCATTTTGACACTTTTTTTTTTCCTTTTTGTCTTTTTTACTGACCGGTAACGGGATTGCAACCCTCGGTGTCGTGCCCGTACCGGGGACCGGCAACGGGATAGCAATCCTCGGTGTTGCGCCCGCACCGCGCTCAGCCAGTGAGCGGGAACCGGTCTCCACATGGGATCCGAACCCTCGGCGGGAGCATCACTGCGCTCCCAACCGGCGCACTCTCCAGTGTGCCACTGGGCCGGCCCTTTGACACTTTTTATGATGGCTTTTGATAGTTGATGTAACTGAATTATAATGTAGCCCCATCTATCAGTCTTTCCTTTATTGTTAGCATGCTTTTTGTGTTTTATTTTTTGAGCGATTTTTCCCCTCCTTGATGCTGTCAAGTGTATTCTGAAAGGTTTTTGGTTTTGCCTTTCACATTTAGGTAATTAAACCTTCTGGAATTGCTTTGTATGGTTTGAGGTAGAAAAATTCCTAGATTTAGATTTAACCAGGATGTTTCTATGGTTTTTTGTTTGTTTTAAGTTTTTCTTATTAGGGAAAATTTCAGATGCACCATAAATAAATCACAGAAGTACAATGGACAGACCCTCACATCCATCACTCACTTCTATCAAGTCAAGTTACTTGTTTCATCTCTACAAGTATCCTCATTGCCCTCCCTCCAAAAAAACAACAAACAAACAAAAACAAAACCTGGATTATTCTGAAACAGATCCAGATGTATACTATTACATGTTGATCTTTTTTGATAAGTTTTGGTTGGCACTTACTGGTCTCTTTCAAAATGAAGGTTCTTGTCTCAAATTGGGGATATTCATTGATTCTTTGGTAACTTCCATCATCTCTACTCTGTCTTTCTGAAACTCATATGTGATTATTTCTAGATTTACTTTCCTTTTTGTTCCCCCTACATTTACTTCTCAGTTCTTTAAAATTGTTTGGAGATTTACTACTTTGTCTCCCAGATCTCCAGCTTGTTCTCCAGATACACATTTTATCCCATCATTGAATTTTTGGGTGAATGTCAGTCATTTTTAATTGTTAAGAAGTCTTCATTTTCTCTGATTACTCCTTTTTTATACAAATCAGTTTCTGTTACATGGATACAATATTTCCCTGAGGATTCTAATTAAAATTTATTTCCATTTTTTCCCAGAACTTCAATCAGCTCTCAGAATTTGTGGTAGTCGTGTTCTGTACAGTTGATGTGGGCACGGAACTAGCTAACCCTGCATACCGAACTGCTCCTGAGGGAAGACAGTGTTAGGTGCCCCGTCACAACATTTTCATCAACTGAATATAATGTGTAACCTTGTTTTTTGTTTCTGTTTCAGGACAGCTTATCTAGTATACAAGGGTGCTTCAGAAAGTACATGGAAAGATTATTATCTTTTATTCTATTTTTCCACAGACTTTTTGAAGTTCCCTCGTATATTGTCGATTCATTAACATTGAATTCGTGGCCGGTAGCGCTATACCTCATGCCTGAGCAGAGCTTTTGAACACATACTTTCTCCGTAAGGCACATCACAGTCTTGTGCTGAGGAATACACATGAGAGATTTCCACACTATGCTCGGGGCCATTTTAAATGGCAAAATCACCAACAAAAAGCACAAAATGGGAAAAGTGTGGCACTAGGTAGGGTGTGAAGTGGGCCCTTGCTCACAGTATGAGAGATGAGGGTAAAGGACAAGTGTCACTGTGTCACCTCGGCTGGCAACGTGCGCATCAGGAAACTCATTGTTTTTGCAGAGCTGCTCTGTGCATGGTGGTAAATGACCTTGAAAGCCTGCAAGTGTTAGGTTTTATGCTTACAAATAAATTTTAGGCCAGTTTACAAATACAGAATCTGTAAATAAGGAGGATCAGCTGTATCTCTTTTCTCAAAGATCAGTCGTTCTTTCTGTACACCCTGGTCTTTATCTTCTGTGCCCCTTGTTTTCCTTAAGTGTCTGTGAGTCTTTGATTATCTATTTATATTTATGAATAAGGGACTTTTATGGCTAGTAGAGAAAACTGGTGTTGGTTTTTCTTCTTGTTAGGTGCTCTATCGTCTTAACAATTCTCCCTGTTAACTAGGAAGGCTGACTGAGTTTTGTCCATGTAGGTGGAGTGGGCTGACAGGAGGCTTTCTTGTGGAGTTTGTGTATCCAGAGCCGTCTAGCAGGCTGGGTACATATTGCCAAACTAATGGGGACTTTGCTTTGGGGATGGAAGACTTCAGTGTATTTTGTTCCTCCTTGCCTCTCTCCCTGCCAGTTTTGGAGCATGTACTGCTTTATTTCAAGTTCTAACCATCTCACTAGGATCCTTCCTCAGACTGGTTAACCTAGAGCAGGGTCAGCTGCTAGCTGTCCCTGGTTCCCTGAATTCTGTTATTTAAATAGATTACTTCGTAATAGCCCTATGACTCATTTCTTTTATTTGCATTTATTAATTGGAGGTTGGAGTTTCTGGAATTTTCTACCACTGATGGTGGTGTGGACCACTTTTGCCTTTGCGTTTTCTCTCTCATTCAGCTCTCCTCCTGTTTCCTATCTTCCTGGGATTCCTCCAAAAATCTTGATGTCTGATGACACACTTTCTTGACTTCTAGCACTGTTATGGTATTATTTCTTCATCATTTCAGTGGAACCTTAGGAAGGAGGAGAAGGAGATACAGGTGACCTGTTTACATTATTTAGTCAGAAAGCTAGATGGTTTTTCTCACTGTTTAGTTGTGAATTATATATAGAAAGTGGTTTAAATGTGAGCATCTTGTTTCTGGTTGTACAAATGAAGTAATCCTCAATTCAGGTTGTTATCTGAACATTTCATAATTTGATTTAAAGATGTTTTTTAAAAATTTGTGTTTTTAAAATATTTATGTTTTTAGTAATTTTAGAATGTTATTATAAATATACTTTTGATCCTCATTTAAATATCTAATATTGTAAAATCAAAACATTTGTAGTACACTGAAAAAAGAAAGTTTGTGAGATATGGAAACTACTGTGGGATTTACATCTATCTGAGTGGCCAGCAATTGTTAAGGGTTCGGATCCCACATACGGACTGGTTCCCGCTCACTGGCTGAGCGAGGCGTGGGCGCAACACCAAGGGTTGCGATCCCGTTGCCGGTCCCCGGTCCGGTACGGGGGCAACACTGAGGGTTGCGATCCGTTGCCGGACACGGAAAAAGACAAAAGACAAAAAAAAATATATATATATATCTGTTTTTAGTAATTTTAAAATGTTACTATAAATATACTTTTGATCCTCATTTAAATATCTAATATCGTAAAATCAAAACATATTTGTAGTACATTGAAAAAAGAAAGTTTGTGAGATATGGAAACTACTGTGGGATTTACATCTATCTGAGTGGCCAGCAATTGTTATAAATGACTTGTAATTTTATTTTATTACTGTGGCACTTTACAGTTTGCCTGGTAATTTTCTTAATTAGATGATTTGATCTAATTATCTAAAGCTTTAGAAATAAAGAACTGAAACTTCTTTTTTCAATTACCACGTTTTGTTTTTAGCATTCATAATACCAAGGTCAAAGTTTAAGCAAGGGTGACATGTTCACAGAGCTATTACTTAATCTGGATGAGGGAGGAAAAGAAAATCAATGTCTAGGTAGTTAGGCATAGAAATGAAACAAGTCACTTCAGCAGAACCATTCTCTTATTGCTTATCTTTAGCCCTTTGCAAAATGAGGTTGACCTCAAATGAATAACATATGGAGAGCAGGACTTCCTGAGGGGTAGTCTTTTTTACTTCTTTCTCCATCTGAGTTTCTTCTTTTTGTATAAAGCTCTTAAAACATCGTTATCATGAAATTGGTTACAATCAGGTTACTTTTTGTTTTGTAGTTAGTGACCAAATCTTTCAGGAGGAAAAATTGGTAAGACCTCTCAGGTATCTTTTTTTAATCTATTGAATACTTGAAACCTTTTCTTTTGGGAAAAGAACTCCTTTCTATCTAAGCCATAAGAAAATGTTAAAAACAATCCAGAAGGATGGTATCCTCAGTTCTGTGTGTAACATTCTCAAGCAGGCACACTTACAAGGTGTAGCTGTGTCAGGTGTATGACAGAGATCTAGTAGGGACAGGCTGACTTAGGTTGTCTGTCTGCTTGACTCCAGTTTTTTAATTCTCTGAATTAAATGTGTATTAACTTTATCATTACATAAACTACTTCTTACTCTTCATTTCCAGCTCTCGTGCTCATTCCCCCACGATAGCTGTAGGAAGTGATGACAGTAGTCCAAGTGCAATGGCCAAGGTTCAGATTTTCGAATATAATGAGAACACCAGGTCAGTACTGCTTCTTTATTCATTAACTGAATTGTGCATCATTCATTACATGTTTACTGATTTCCTGTGATATGCCAGGTTCTGTGCTAGACTCTGATAATTTAGGGCTGAATGATAAAGAGGAGAAGATAATTGATATCCCAGAGTCAATTTGCAGGGAAAACAAAAAAATAATAGTAAAAAGGATGATTAATTTTATGATCTAGGAGAATCAGTGTTGAAGAGTTTATACCTGGGAGGACCTCATCTAGTTTTGGGGCCAAGGAGGTTCACCTAGAAGAAGACCTATAGGATAAGAAGTTGGCAAGACAAAGAGGGCAGAAGCACTCCAGATGTACCAACCTGTTTCTACTGTGTTTGGAAGAAAGCAGGCAGAAGGGAGTGTGGTGAGAAACAGGAAAGACTCATATCTGCAAGACCTAGCATCCGTCGTTTCGATTTTATCTTACGGGGAATGATAGGATCAGAGAGTGGTTTAACTCTTCCATAGGCATGGAAAGTGTGTTGGGAGAGAACATGAGTACATTCAGTGCAACAGTGTTGGTGTAATAGTCCAGGTGGGAAATTATAGTGGCTTTGGAATAGAATAGTGCCCGTGGGGATGGAGAGAAGTGAAAAATTTGAGAATAAGTTAAGACGTACTTTTGGGTCGTGGCACTGTTGCCCTTAAAGGGATTGGCATTGTCCCGGGCATACAAAAGCCTTTTGTCCCCGAGGTGAGGGGGAAGCAACAAATCCTGTGGGTAAAAAGGGCAGAAGGATCAGTTGGGCAATGCGCTCTCCTGCAGGGAGCGTTAAAATCTCATGAGATGTAGTAGCCAAAATTTTTATCTCTCCAGTAAAGTCATTGTCACGTACTATCAATAGGATCTGATGATTGATTAGACGTGGGAGGTGAGGGGGAAGGGGAAGGGATAAAGATGATTCCAAGGTTCTGGCTTAACAGTTTGATGGATGGCGTGTAATTTCTAGAGAAACAGGGCAGACTTGGGCAGAGTGTGGTAGCATGTGGAGATAAATTAATTTTGGTCATGTTGAGATATAGGTATCTGTAAACTCTGAGAGCCATAAGCACTGTGTCAGATATACAGACGGCCCCTGACTTAGGATCGTTCAACTTAACAATTTTCCAACTTTCCAATGGTGGGAAACCATCACAATTTTGACATAATGTACAGTATTCAGTAAATTACCTGAGATATTCAACACTTTATTATAAAATAGGCTTTGCGTTAGACGGTTTTGCCCAACTGTAAGTGTTTTGAGTACATTTACGGTAGGCTAGGCTAAGCTATGATGTTTGGTAGATTGGGTGAATTAAATGCATTTTGGACTTAGATATTTTCAACTTACAATGGGTTTTATCGGTACATAACCCCATTGCAAATCAAAGAGCATCTGTACTCAGTCTTATGAATGAAAGAGCATCCGTCAGGTGATCAGGTAGGCTTCATAGGTGCTAGACAAAATTCTTGGGTCTAGAAGTCAGGCCTTGCAAGAAGCAGAAGAGACGAACTGGTATAATTCCCATGGGCTCTTTTATTAGTCTGGTTCTGTTGCTTATAACAAAACACCTGGAACTGGGTGATTTATAAAGGATATTTATTGCTTACAGTTTCTGAGGCTGGGATGTCCAAAGTCCATCTGGTGGTGGCAGCGACAGTGACCCAGAGGTCTCACATTGCAAGATGGTGGAAGCAGAGAGAGCAGAGCAGAGAGAGACAGACTTTCCTCTTCTTTTAAAGCCCTCAGAACTGTGCCCTTGACCACCATTTTTAATCCATTCACTACTGCACGGTCCTACAGTCCAATCACCTCTTCAAGGCTCCACCTTTCAATTACGATAATAGGACTTCCCACCCTCTTAACAGTCACAGTGGGGACTAAGTTTCTAATGCACGAAACTTGGTGGACACAACTCAAGCTTCAATGAGTTTTGAGGGGACATAATTCAATCCAGTACAGCTCTGCAATTCAGAATGTCACCACTTGGGTTTCTGAGGGGCTGTTATGTCTTCTACCTTCCTAGGTTCTTGACTTCTTCTGAGAGGCGCTGTCTACAATTGTGCTGTTTTAAAGAACTCACTGGGGTGGTGGAAATGGTCTGTATCTGTGCCATGTAATGCAGTGGCCATTAGCTGCATGAAGCTATTGAAACCCAAAATGTGGCTGATGCAACTGAGGAACTGAATTTGTTAGTTTATATTAATTTAAATTTAAATAGACACATGTGGCTAGTGCTACTATATTTGCCAGCGTACTTCTAGAATTTAAGAACCTTCCTCTAGACCTCTTTGAGATTTTCATAGCCTTTTTAGCTATTAAAGTTATGAATCAAATTGGTAGCACATTTTAAAGAGGCTTCATGAAGAATTAGTATTTTTACAGTAATTTTCAACCTTAGCTGAACAGAATGAATATGGAGGCATAAATCCAAAACTTAAAATGTGGACCATTTCTAAAAACATAAGAAAATAAAAGTACTTGATAAATAAGATTTGATTAAAAAGAACGAACTTGCAGTTAGTTCTGAAAGCAAACACAGGCAAATAGAAGAAGTTACTTGACTACTTAAAATAATCCATTGTTAAAATAATCTCTGGTTGCATATGAATCACTTAAACAGAATAAATCCAGATTAGGGGCTGGGTCCTCTGTATTGTCTCATGTAACAAGGAGCCAGGGGTGGAGCAGTTCTGGGGTTAGTTAAATGACTCTGTCGCTTGATGGTGACATCAGGGACCTACCTAAGTCTTTTCCATTTCTTTACTGTCATCCTTAGTATGTTGGTGACAGCTCCCTCTTATGATCATAAGAGGCTGCAGCAGTTCCAGGTTTCACATGCAGTTATTTCTTTTCATGTGTCTTTTTATATTGGGGAGAAAAAAACTTTTCTAGAGGCATCTTAGCTGGCTTCTCATCAGGTGCTGCTGGCCAGAATTGGGTCATCCACCCATGCTTTAGCTGCCAGGGAGTCAGATAGCAAGTGTCTGGCATTTTCAGCATCTGAAATGGGGGGGGGAGGGCAGTGGTGTTGGGTAGGTAAGTGTCTGCGTGGACACGCACATGTGTGATTGACTTAGGAAGTAATCTGACTTTTTCAGTTCAGCACTTTTTGTATTTCTTGGTGTTGGTTCTTTGAGTAAGAGTTGTTTGAAGGTTCTTATTTAGATTGAACATGTTTACATGGAGGATATGTGATAGTGGACTACATAGCATCCAGTTATTAATACCTGTTTATTTTCTTGTAAGTAGTATCTCCATTTGGTACACAGGAAACATTTGCCAAATTAACCAGTATTGGATATATTTATTTTTATTGGTGAGTGAAAATATTAAGACAGATCTAGCCTTGATAATGATAATGCAAATGCCATTTCATATATATTACAAAATTTGGTGCTAACAACCACCTTATGAGTAGGGTAGGCAGCTTTTATATTAGCACTATTTAACAAAGGAAGAAACAGAGACCAACAGAGTAAAATGACCAGTCTAAGGTCAAATATAGGAGTCAGGACCAGAAATAGGTCTTTTTTGTTTATTCTCCTTGTTTACTCTCATTGTGGCTCTTATTCGGTTCCTGCAGATAGGAAAAACTTTAGAGAACCTTTATTAAAGTATAAGGCTTGTCTCAGGTAAGAAAAAAATAATCTCAATTTTTTCCAGCATTTCATAAGCATCAGGGACTGTACTAAGAGCTGAAGATAAAATGTGACTATACTGCAGTCTTGTACATAAGGAGCTTACAGTCTTTAGGATATGAGCTCAGTACAGTAAACTGCAGTAGGTGCTAGGGTAGTAGCTTGGACCAGGTACAGTAGAGCAGAAAAGAGCTGTCAATTCTGCCTGAGAGGGCTAGGAGAAGTGTTGGGTAGAAGTTGATGTTTGAGCCTCAGTCTTGAAAGATGGAGTCTGTTCTGCAGGCAGAGAGGAAGCAAGAGCAAAGACGTGGAGCAGATCCATCCTGGTGAGGTGTTAGACTGGGAGGACGGGTGCAAGAGAGGCATGCCAGCAGGCCAGGCAGAATTTGGAGAGTGCTGCAAGCACTCAAGTTTGGTGTTCCTCCTATCACATTTGGACTTTTGAAGGGTCCTGTAGAGTTATATGGTTGTATTTACCTTTTAGGAAGTCGACCTTGGCAGCTGTGGGACCTTGGCAGCTGTGGGGAAGTGAGACTGAAAGCAGGGGAGTCAGAATTAATGTGGTAGCCCCACTGTGATAAAGAATGAGGACATGCACTAAGGTAATGGGATGAAGAGGAGGGGACTTGTCTAGGGCTTGGAATTGACATGACTGAGTTGCCAGTTGAAGGGCAAGTGAGTCCTTGGTTTCTGACTTGTCTGATGGTTGTGCCGTTTATTGAGATGGGGACACACAAAGAGCAGTGAATGAATGTGAATGGAGAGAGTTCACTTGGGACATACCTAGTTTGAGGTGCCTTTGGGGCATGCAGGTGGGAATCTCTAAAGGGCAGATGGATATAATGTCTAAGATTAGTTACCTGTTGCTGCATAACAATATTACCACAAACTTAGTGGACTAAATAACACACATTTATTATCTTACAGTTTCTGTGGCTCAGGAGTCTGGGCCTGACTGGGGAGGGCTCCACATCGGCACTCAGCTGGTTGTTGGCAGCATTTATGTGTCCCCTCTCCCTAGGGGAGCTCATGGCATGGCAGCTGCTGCTTAAGGCCCACAGGGGTGCAACTTATAAGGCAGACAGCTGCTGCTTAAGGCCCACAGGGGTGCATCTTATAAGGCAGTCAGTGCCAGCTGTGCTCTGTAGTCATGCAAATGTCATCCCCTCACCTTTGCCATATTCCCTCCCCTGGTTAAAAAACAAGTCATGGGACCCACCCACGCTTGCAGGACAAGACTCCACAAGGGTGTGATAGCAGGAGCTGGGGGTCATGGGTCACTTAGAGTCAGTACTGGTGTTATCCCCACTTTACAGAGAACTTCTTGCTCCAGGTCAAGTTTCAGCTGATAACGGATTTGGTGCAGATGGAAACACAGGCATTCTGACTGCAGTGTGTGCTCTTAACTAGCCCTCTCCTATTTCTGGCCTTTGGCAGACGGGGCTGGAGGTGATAGATGTAGGAGTTATTTGTTTATAGGTAGTGAAACCTTGGGTATAGAAACTTTAGTGTCCATGTGAATCATCTGGGGATCCTGTTAAGATGCATATTCCGCTTCTGTAGGCCTGGGGTGGAGACCGAGGTCCTGCATTTCTCAGAAGTGCCCAGGCTGATGCAGACCATGCAGTAGAAGCAAGGATGTGCACAAGATTGTGTAGAGTGATCATACAGGGTGAGAAGAGATCAAGGAGAGAACCTTGAGTCATACCAAGTTGGTAGATATTTCAGAAAGAATATTGGGGCAAAGAAAAGGTCATGTACAGAATGCTGGAAACACCAATATCTTAGAGGAGGGTAGTGGAAAGGTGGGATGGGGACATCTCTCTGTCCCCGTCCTATACACAGGGTTGCTTGCTTCAGTTCTGTTCATGATATTCAATTGAAGACATAGAACCTAATAGGAAACTCTGATCTGCCATCTCCTTCATTGTCCTCTTATTCTCTGTTTACAGACAAAGAAATATAATTCTAAGAATGAAATAGACTTTGGCATAGTTTCCTGTTATCACAAACTCAGTTCCTGTTTTTTATCAGCTTTACTTTTTTATTTATATTCAAATATTTAGGAAATTCATTATCCTTTCCTTAAAAAAGGTATTAATTGCAAATAAATCAAGACCTATTCTAATTAAATTTTTACCAAGCTGTTTTAAGCTAAACTTGTATTATCAAAGGAGGAAACCTGGGAGGTTATATTAGTTTCTTATGGCTACCATAACAAATTACCACAAACTGGGTGGCTTAACAGAAATTTACTCACTCACAGTTCTGGTGGCCAGAAATCTGAAATCAAGGTGTTGGTGGGGCTGTGCTTCCTCTGAAATCCTTGCCTCTTGCAGCTTCGCTGGCTCCAGGAGTTCCTTGGCTTGTGGCAACATAACTCCAGTCTCTGTCACTGTGTTCACATGGCCTTCTCTGTGTGTCTGTTTCTCCTCTTTTGTCTTTTATAAGGACACTGGACATTGGACATAGGCCGACCCTAAATCCAGGATGATCTCATCCTGAGATCATTAATTACATCTGCAAAGACCCTTTTTTTGAATATAGTCACATTCACAAGTGCTGGGGGTTAGGACTTGGACGTATCTTTCTTCTGTCCTTTATTTTCAGGCCACTACAGAGGTAGGCACTGTTTGATTGTGAGCAGTATGAAAAAAATTTGAGGTACATTTATGTGTGGATTTTTGCAAAATAATTTCTGAAATTTTTAGTGTAAATTGTATGGTTTTTTTATTAGAAAATATGCAAAAGCTGAAACTCTTATGACAGTCACTGATCCTGTACATGATATTGCATTTGCTCCGAACTTGGAAAGATCTTTCCATATTCTAGCAGTAGCAACCAAAGATGTGAGAATTTTTACATTAAAGCCTATGAGGTGAGTTTTAAAAACAATTCTGAATTTGAAAATACCCTTGCTTTCTCATTATCTTTATGGGTGGAGGAGAGAGTAGAGGTAAAAAAGATCTGAAGAATGAATTCTTTAATGAACATTTTACGTATAAATATATGACTTGGGATTGGGAATTGCGTAAAGAGAGGACGTTTATATTCTCTTAATTGTGTTTACTTAGGTTAATACTAACAACTAATTAGATCTTCCGAATATAAGTGGTACTCTGTGGATGTTTAAATGAATAAGTGGCAGTCTACTTAGGGAAAACTAAATTAGCATCGAGATGTTCCTGTAAATAACCTGTTTAGCTTTAATTTTGAATTGTAGGTTTCAGTTTTCCTTCTGTTTTTCCTCTTTGCATCCTTCCATTACCCTAACCCTAAGCCTAACCCTTCTTTCCTGCCATCCTTCCTTTTTAAAATAATTATCATCTATTTTATTCCTCATCGTTGTTTGTGGGAATAAAATCCTCTTTTGTTGTTTCTTTCTTACTTGAAACAGTCACTGAATATCACTTATGTCCTGGGATCACTCCCGGTCCTGGGGAGTCAAATGAAAATGACGTGGCCCAGCTCCAGGGCCAAGGGGTGGGGGGATTATTATAAAATAATGTGGTAAGTACACAAGGCCATTTGTATTTTTTATTTAGAACAGCATATATATATATATATTAAAAAATTTTCCTCAGAAAATTATTTTTATTAAGTTTCTGGTGGGCCAATGAAATTTGAAATCCATATAGTGGCTCAGTTTGATAATCCTAACTCTCAGGTCTGGCGAGTGAGTTGGAATGTGGCAGGAACAGTGCTGGCGTCGTCAGGAGGTGACGGCTGTGTGAGACCGTGGAGAGGTGAGGGTTCAGTGAAGAGAGAATTGTTGCTTTATATTTCTACTTTAGAAATTTCACTGAAGAGTATAAACTGAAATATTCTGAAAAAAAAATGGTCTTTACAGCTACTTTTAAATTAATATCCTCATTTATGTTATTTTGAATATCAGTTTACCTAGTTCATAGCAGTTAATGACTAATTTAATTATTTTTTAAGTTCTGTGTGGAACAAAGCACCTTTTAAAACTGAGGTAATTATAACAGAATATGCAGTGTCTGTAATAAAAAGATACCATAAACCGTATATGTAACTTGAGTGACTGCGCTACAAACTCAGGATCGGACTACAGATATCTCTTGTTTTATTAAAGAATTGCTTTAGATAACCAGTCCTGAACAGGAGAAAATCCAATTTCTCCCCACTTCCTCTCTCCAATTCCCCCAAATTCAAGAACTGTGGGGCCCTGATTCTGAAAGTTTCTTACAAGTGCTAGGCTGAGAGAGAACTCGATCTGGTCACTTGACACTGATTATGGTCCCTGTAGCTTGGTTCTGCACTTTTCCATGAATGTTTACACATTGGGCAGAGGTGTCCATGATTTGTGTATCACTGCAGTAGATGGCGTCTCATACTGAGCATCCAAAATTATAGCTGTCTTACTTCATTTACCCTGAGCAGTTATTGTTTTCCAAAGTGCAGTTTGGCTAAGCTGGAGGGCCTCCCAAATATGTATTAGGCTGTGGTAGAACCAGCCCAGACCTTCCTTTCCTCAGTGTAATTTGATTTTAAGAGCTTTGTTGTTCTTTTCTACCTCTGGGCCTTAGGACCACCAAGCAGCATCCCAAAAGGCTCCCTAACTTGGGTTTCCTGGGCTTATTGTCTCCAGTGACCAAATTTGCATTCAAAGAATTAGGGCCGTTTTGAATAAACCACTCAAAGTCCAAGGGTTTAGTTACCTACATTCATTTCTGAAGACATTAGTCAGGCACCCACATAACTTATGCTTGCATTACCAAGAAGACAACTCCACTACCTTATGTATATATGTAAGGACATTCATTATAATGAAGACAAAGATTTTATTTTGATATTAACTTCATAATGTGATAATGTGGTAGCTTAGAGAATGGTCTCTACTAATAATTTATCTTGTAAGGAAGGGAAGTGGGTGGTAAAAGCTTTATGTTTTTTAAATTAGTAATTCTTTGAAAACTTAAAAAAATTGTTAATACATACAGGTTGAGCATCCCTAATCTGAAAATCTGAAATCCAAAAGCTCCAAAATCCAAAACTTTGAGCACTGACAAGATGCTACAAATAGAAAATTCCACATGTGACCCCATGTGACAGGTCGCAGTCAAAACGCAGGCGCATAACACATGGTTTATTCAGCCTACCCTTGTTTGTTGTTTAACAGCTGACACAGGTGTC